GGCGTGGAGGTTGGAGGGGTTGACGGGCCCTGCCCTCGCTCCTTCAACATGGCTCCCTAGTACTGCATGTGTCTCAGACCCCCGGGGATGTCCCCTCACGCCAAGCCCAAGTGGGGGTTAGCGTGGGCGGCTCAGAGGGGCCCTTGGGTGGTGATTTTGAAGACGGCTCAGGCCCTGGGTGAGGAACGGCCTGGAAGACCCCCGACGGTTGGGCAGGGTCCTGACTCTGCTGGCGGCCATCAGTGGCCTGGGCGGGGCTGGGGAGGAGGGTCCAGGTGGGGACAGCCAGGTGGGTGCTCAGAGGGGCCCAGAGCGCAGCTCAGTCCACTGTGCTTTCTGTACGATGCAGACGTGGCCAAAACTCAAGTTCCTGGGTGGACGGGGCCGGCGGGGGGGGGTCCATGGACCTGAAGGCAGAACCAGGGTCCCTGCCCCTTCTGCGTCCCCATTGTTCCTGGGGGAGACCTCACCGACCTCTGGCCAGGTGGCACCCCCGAGTGGGGTTTGAGGGGTGTGGGGGGCAGAGCCCAGGACTCGGTGATGCCAGGACTCTGTTCCGCGTGCCCCGTAGCCGTGGGGGTCTTTCCAGACGGATGCGCAGGCCACACGCTGCCCAGGCTTCTGCCGCCCAGGCAGGCGGCGCTCGCGGTCTGAGAGGTTTTCTTCCGGGTGAATGGTTTTTTAACCCGATCGTGACCTGGATCTGTGAGCAGTTCTGCTGCCTGCCTCTCGTTTTCAACCTTATCGACGTGGGACTGATGTCGACTCAGCTGCGCCCGTTGACAGCTGGCCCTGCGGGAGGCCTCGCCCGTAGTCTGGGGGCCGCGAGCGCTAGGCCGCGCAGTCACGCGACGGACACTCGCCCGGCTCCCACTCGCGTCATCGTGTGTCTTCCTCTTCCTCAGCAGCGTCATGGCGGGACTTCCGCTTTGAAAACTTCTCCAGCTCGCTTTTTTGGCTCCTTTTCAGATGGGCCCTTGTGTTTGCTCGCTCCTTCCTTGCTGGTGGACTCTTTCAGCTGTTTTTGTAATTCTTAGAAAGGTCGCCGCAGTGAATGTCCGCCCCGGGTTTCTGTCTGCGGTGTTGATACCCTGTTCCTCGTTGGTTTGTTCGGGGCTTGTGTGCCCTCCGGGCTGGTCTCCTGGTTTAAATTCCCAGACAAGGCGGGGCGCCTGGGGGGCTCAGTCGGTTAGGCATCCGACTTCAGCTCGGGTCCTGATCTCTCGGTTCGCGAGTTCGAGCCCCACATCGGGCTCCGTGCTGACAGTGTCCCCCTCTCTCTGTCTGCCCCTCTCCCCCCAATAAGTAAACAGTAAAAAACATTCCCAGACAAGGAATCACTTGGCCAACGAGAAGGGGGGTCCCCAAGGTGCCGCACCCACATCTCTGAGCCGCTTTCCAGCTGATGCTCCGAGCCTCGCACAACGAGTCTGGCGGTTGGTCTGGTGCGCTGGCTTCAGCCGGGGCGAGGGCTTATAGAACTCGCTCGGGCTGGAGGCAGACGTCATCTTTTGAATTGAACTTCTTTGATCAAGGACGAGGCTGAACGTTTTGTCGTGGGCTTTGCTTAGTCTGTTTATATTGTGGGGTCTTAATGTATTTTTTAATTTTCGCTGATGTGGGCCCCATGGAGTAACGCTACCAGTTCTTGTGATGTGTTTTTTGGAAATCACTTCTCCTGGTTTGCCATTTCCCTTTGATCGGGGTCTTCTATGGAACGTACGTTTTTATGGAACCAAACCCATCGATATTTTGTGATTCCCTTGTTGCTCTCAGCTTAAACACTCTTTTCCACGAAGAAGCCTGACGTCTCGCTCTTACCTTCTCCGGTGCTATAATCTGACTCCCAGACACCAGTCTGAAGTTACCGCGGTGGGCGGAGGGGCGGCCGGTCCCCCCCGTGGGCCCCCAGCCCCGCCGGCGCCTGTCTTCTGTGCTGGGTCTTCTGTCCTCTGGCCGGCCAGCCTGGCTGCGGGCGGGTCCTTGAGGCCTGCCCCCCCCCGCCCCCGCGTCTTCCCACAGCACCGGGAGCTGTTACTGATCACGGTGTCTCCACGTGTGAGCCACCACAGGCAAGTGACCTCTCTGCCTGTTTTAGCTTCTGTCACCAGTTTAGAGTTTCGTCCGCCTTAAGGTTACAGGACTTGCTGACTGGTGCCTGGGTGTGTGTGGAGGGTGGTGCTCTAGGTCATGTGACAGCCCCGCCCGGACACCTGCCCCCACCTGATGGCAGAAACAAGTGACATTTTCCTTTTACGGGAAGCCCGGCCGGGCACCTGGTTCTGTTCTGACCCCTTCTGTCGCCCAGCTCCCCAGGAACGCTCCGTCCCCTTCGCAGCCCGGAGGGAGACCCTCGGTACACAGCAAGTGCCCCATAAGTGTGAGGCACCGTTCCCAAACGTGGCCGGGCGGTTTTCCGGAACGCGGTGCGTCCTTTGGAAATGACCCGGCCGCGCCGAGCCGCGGTGCCCAGGCCGCCAGGCCGCGGAGGCGGCGTCCGCTCGGGAGACGGCGGGGCCGGAGCCGTGGGCAGCGGCCGGGCGGCCTCTGCAGTGGACGGAAGCGTGTGTTCAGTGTAACTGGCAGGAGAGGGTCCTCCGCCATCAACGGCCGCGCAGGGGGACGCGCGCAGAGGCGGGACCAGGGACCGCGTGGCCGGGAAGGCCGGCGGGTTCTGGTCGGCAGAGCCAGCGCCCGCGGTGACCGGCGCCTGCTGTGTGCACGGTGGCTTTTGTCGTTCCTTCTCGGGTGTTTCCGTGTCGAGAACGCGTTGGCTCTTACGTCTCGTGTCTTCGCGGGAAGGGGCTGCGCTCCACGGTCCCTTCCGTGTGGGTTCGCCTGCCGACAGCAGGACCTTAAGGACGAAGGAAAAGGCCCCTTTTGTGCCCGGTCTGTGACCCGCCCTGCCCGCAGGCTCCGGAGGCCGCAGGGTGGGCGTTAGCTGCGCTGTTAGGAGGCCCCCTTGGGGTTTTCCTCTAAGCCCCCTCCCCCCCCGCCCCCTATAGCTGCCCCCAGGCTGTAGTCACCCCTCAAAGGGTCCGGGCCCATGGTTCAACCTGCGCTTCCGGCCACCCCCAGGCCCTGTAGTGTTTATACCGTTCCCGTGGTCGTGCTCCCGGCCCCCAGTTCTGCCCACAGAGGGGAGGCTGGGGGGAGGCCGGGGCTGGGGCTCCTGAGGTAGTCCTGCCCAGCGCAGTCCGTGCAGCCCTGCCCGGGGGGCGGGTGCCCGACCACGGTGCCTGCTGCCTTCCTCAAGGGTCCGGCTGCCGGAAGTCCTGCCCCAGGCTGGGGGACCGGCCAGAGAGGAGGTGCAGGTTGGAGTGTGTGTGCGGATGCCCAGTGGGTCGCGAGGCCATGGTGCATCCTTGAGGGCACTGGCTGCACCCGGGGGTGCGGGGAGCCAGAGCCCTTCAGCCTGGGGAGGAAACGCAGCGAGTCAGTGCCTGTGGGTCGTGTGCTGTCAGCCCAGTGCGGGGACTTCTATGCGCACACCCCTGAATTGGCCCACGGAGGTCCTGGGAGGGTGTCTGTTTGACCCCTTGGGCATGGGGACACAGCCTGAGGCTCCTCCTGGTGCGGGCCCAGGGGTTTCCTGCCTCTCTGGCCCTGCCCGGCCCCTGGCACCTGGGCCCCTCTTCCTTCCTTGTGGGTGTGGGGAACAGGTTTGGAGACCCGAGCAGGAGTCCAGGCTGTGCTCACCATCTTTCTAGGCCCTTGGGCTCACACTGCCTCCAGGCAGCCCTCCCAGATGCCATGTTAGCTTGCAGCCCTGGGTTCCTACATCAGTGCAGAAAGGCATGGGGACAGGGGCACATCAGGCAGAGGTCAGCTCTGCCACCCTAGGCAGGCTCTTTACTTTCATGGAGACTTCATTTCCTCCCGTCCAGCGGGGCCAGGCCTGGAGGCCACTCAGTGACCATTTAGGACCCCATGAGGCCCTGCTGAGACTGGCTCTGACCTGAACTGATGGGCCCGGGATGCCAGGTGTGCTGGGCTGGGTGGCGGGGTGAGGGGTCGGCCCCTGGGGCCGAGGGGTGGGGGTGCTTGGTGTGCAGAGGGATTGGGGGTAGAAAACTTCCAGGGGCCAAACGGAAAGACAGAGGTCTTCAGGGGAGGGTGTCAGTGTGTCAGGACAGGAGGCGCAGGCTGCTGTGCCCGCCTCTGTCTGGGGGACGCCTGGCCTGGCCCATGGGCACTGGATGCGCGGAGCCAGGGGCATGGGGGCCACCCGTACATGTGGGGAGGCCGTGTCATGCTGTCCTGACACGTCAGTTCCCCATCTGGTGAGGGTTAGCCATGAGGGGGCCCTTGTGGACAGGTGCCGCAGAGGGGGGGTCCCCACTGTTCCCAGGACAGAAAGGGGGGCACTTCAGCAAGAGGGTGACTTGGAAATGCCAGGCCGCACAGGGGGACTCTGCTGCCCAGTGGCCATGGCACCAGCTTCTCGGGGACAGTGGGATCCCTGTGCTTCAGAGGCCGGACAGGCCTGTCTCATGGCTCTGGCCCCCAACGGCAAAGAGCCCAGCATGTGGGCAGCCCCGAAACTTCTCTCGCACAGCGGGGCCCCTCCCGGGTGCCATCCTCATCGCTTTAGGGAGATGACAGCCCCTGGGACAGGCTCCGGAGAGGGGATGTGGGGTGACCAGAGTCTGGAAGAGATGTGCAGGGGAGTTTCCTGCAGCCCCAAGACCCTGGCCTCATGGAGGGGTGCCTGTGAACCCCGACAGCCGGCCCCCGGGAAGGCTTTCCCAGCCCCGTGTCCTCTGAGTGAGGCCTCAGCGGCGCCCAGTGGCCGTCCTGGGAACTGCAGGCTCCGGGCCACGATGGCCACTCTGCCGGGAGCCCCGTGGCGACTGCGTGTGGGTGGCGGGTCTCAGAGCAAGGGTCAGGGTGGGCTGGGGAGTCGGGTTTGGCTGGGGCCTGGGTGCGCCTGGAGGGACAGGGTGAGTCTGGGGCCTGGAGCCTCAGAGGCTGCCCCGTGACCTCCTCTCCCTCGGCAGACGGCGCCCCCCTCAGCGAGCTCTCCTGGTCGTCTTCCCTGGGCGTGGTGGCCGTGTCCTTCTCCGGGCTCTTCACCGTCATCGCCCTCATGCTGGCCTGTCTGTGCTGTAAGAAGGGTGGCATCGGGTTCAAGGTGAGGGCTGGGGGTCCCAGGGGATGGGCCGCTTGTGTCCACTCAGCACTGAGCCTCCCTCCCCTGGGGGGCTGCCGACAGGGGGGGCCGTGGAGGCTTCCGGAGACCCAGCCCACTGTGGCCCCCGGTTTGGAGCCCCTCAGTGTGGACACGTCCCAGCTCAGGGCCAGGCCACTAGGTGTGGTGCACAGGTCGGGCACTCTGGGACGGTGAGGGGCTCACGGAGGCTCCTGAGCCGTTGGGAGGGGGCTCGCTTCCCCAGAGGCCCCTGACTCCTGGGTGGAAGAGGAGCGCTCTTTGCTCAGCGGTCCTCGAGTGCCTGCTCATTCAAACCGGCAGCGGGAAACCAAAGCCGCCCAGACATGCCTTCCCTGTACCACAACCGCCTTGCCTGCTGGACCTTACTTGGGGCGCCTCCTGCTCCACAAGGTGGGGGCTGAGTGTTGGAGCCGGAAATCAGGGGACCGTGCACAGTGGCAGTGATGGCTGCTACTCACAGAGCATCAGTGAAACGCACGGCGCGGCTTCACTATGGCTGCCCCCGCAGAGTTAAATTCCCCAGGGTCCTGGGCTGAGTTCTGGGGCTAAGTCCCCCTCCTGAGGGGGCACCCTCTGGGGAGCTGGGCGTGGCTCTGAGTGGGGAGGGGAGGACAGGACCGGGCAGAGGGGCTGGCAGTTGAGAACCCCACGCCGAGGCTCCCTGCCCCCCGCCCACGAGGGGTGAGTTCCTGCCGACTTAGCAAATAGCGGGCTAGGCTGTGGTCATTCACCCCTGCCCTGGGCTGGAGGTCGGATTCCTGGGCCCGGCGAGTTCAGGAGGGGAGGGCCGTCCTGTGGCCCCCATCAGTGTCCGGACTAAGTGGCCCACATCCCATTTTAGAGAAACAGCGCCCCCCCCTCCCCCATCGCATGTCACAGAGCCGCCCACCTGCTCGGTGAGGACGGGGGGCTTCGCTTTGACAAAGGCCACCCTTCCAAGGCTGTGGCTCCTGGTACCTGGCCCTGGGTAGGCCGTCTCCCTGACCTGTGAGCATCCAGCAGCTGGGCCCCGCAGGATCCTGGGCCCAGAGCCGTGAGGTCATGGGGGCTGGGGGTGGGGGAGCCTTGTATAGGTCAGCCCCTCCTCAGGGCCCTGCGAGAACAAGGCCCCAAACAAGGGCCAGCCTTGGCCCCTCCTACCCTTGCCCTCCTCACCTCCTGGAGAACATGGTGCCGAGAACATTCCAGCCCCAGTACGCGTGGGTGGGAGGGCCTGCCTGCACCAGGGGCTCCTGCCTGGTCTCTGGGGGCCCAGGGCTGGGCACCGTGGAGCTTGCTGGGAGAAGGGGCCGGGTGGCAATGCTCACACTGTCCTACTTGCTGGCCCGCTGTGTTGGAGCCGTACAGCAGGCTGTCGGACGGCAGCGTCAGGTATGGGCTGGGGCCAGGCCCCCGTGGGGTGCATGGGGCTGCGGCTGGCATCCCAGGGCCCCGAGGGTGGGCTCGCGAGCCCTGGGCAGAGAGGTCGTTGCAGGAACCAGCCCCTGCCCCCTGTCCCCAAGGTTCTGTTCTTTCCGGGCAGGGGCAAGGCCTGGCCCACAGGGACACCAGCTGAGAACATAGAAAGCAGGAAAAAGGAGGGTCCTGGGGTCCCGGGGTCCCAGGGTCACGCAGCACCAAGGGAGGAACCTAGGCCCCCTGGCACCCAGTCCAGCTGCCTGTCTATATGGGTGGGGCCCTCTGGGCCTCAGTTTCCCCACCTGGGCAGTGTGGTGGTGGGCTCCAGGGAGGAGAGCTGCTGTTGTTTCAGTAGGAGCTGTTTTGTGATCAGGCTCTGGATTTCTGAGACTTTGGCTCTTCCCTGGAATGTGCTCTGTACCTGGGGGGAGGGGTCTTGCCCACAGACAGGTGCAGCTGTGGCATTTCAAAATAGCAGCCAGCCAGGTGGGGCCCAGCCCCCGGCTACCCTGGCCAGGCTCTTAAGGAGCCTTGGGAGCGGATAAAGGCCCGCCTGGGTCAAGGTCCAGGGCAGCCTGGAGGCAGACGGCTGTGGTAGGTGGCAGGGGGCCTGGCCTGGGGGTGGGGGTGGGCTCCTTGCTCTGGGCACTCAGGAATGCTCCTTGCTGGAAGGGACAGGGGCTCTTGGATGCCTCTCCACTGAGGCAGGGTGGGTGGCGTGATGGAGCCCCCATCCCTGTCCCCACTCTCCAGCCCTAACCTTGAAGCTGGGTTCAGAGGCTGGGTGGGGTGCGGGCTGCAGGGGCGAGGGGTGGCAGGAGTTGGGGGCTGACCGGATGGGCAGTGGGCAGCTGGCCTCTGCTTCTTGGCCTCCTGCCTCTGGCCCCACCCCGGCCAGCGCGGGGCCAGCATGGCCCACCATCGCCGCAGCTGGTCAGGGTGGCCCGGGCTGGGCAAGGCGCTGCCGCCCTGGGCTCACGGCCCCCACGCCTGAGGCTCGGGCTCTGGGAGGCTGGTTTTCCTCACAGCCAACCAACACAGAACAAGCAGCCTCTGGCCCTCTGGGCAGCTGGTGTCCCTGGAGGGGGGAGGGGCTAGGAGAGCAGTGTGTTCTCTGCCCTGAGGCGCCAGAGGGTGGGTGGGAGGGACACAGGCAAGTGTCTCCCCCCCACCCCGGGTCAGGCCCCCCAGCCCACTCCACGCCCGGGTCCAGAGGAGGTGAGAGCGCGGTCCCTTCTGAGCCTGTCCGGTACCCCGGGGCCCTGCCCTCGTCCCCGAGCCCTGGCGCCCCAGCTCCCGGCAAGCCTGGCGCCCACCTACCGCTGCAGGAGTTTGAGAATGCCGAGGGGGAGGAGTACGCCGCCGGCTTCTCGGCACAGGGCTCCCCCGCCACGGGGGCACAGAACGGGCCAGACGTGTATGTCCTGCCACTCACCGAGGTCTCGCTGCCCATGGCCAAGCAGCCGGGGCGCTCAGGTGAGTGCGCCCCCGGGGAGGCCCCGCTGGGGTGGGGAAGGTGTGACTCTGGGCTCAGCAGCCAGTGCTCCCGGGGTGGGGTGACAAAGGGCAGGTGCGTGTCCCCTTCTGCCGGGACCAGGGAGGCCGCTTGGGTCAGCCTTCTGCCCACCAGCTGCCCAGCCTGCTGTGCGGGGCGTGGCACCGGCCCCAGGGGTGAGGGACCCGTTGCCCTGGTCCTGGGACGGGAGGAGGGGCTCCTCTGCTGTCCCTGGACGCTTGACCCCTGACCACCCACTCAGTGCCCGCAGGCCATGCAGGGACATGGGCTCCATTGTGCCCAGTGGGCGGGGCCCACCCACTTGGGGAGGAGGGGCTCTTTGGGGCCCCCGCTGTGGGCGGGGCTGTGAATGGGCCTTTTACTCAGGCCTTGGGGGACCCGGGGCGGGTGCAGGCAGGGGCCTGGCCCCTGTTGGTTCCCCACCCCGGGGTCCCCCCACCAGGGTGACCACCCGCAGGGCCGACGGGGGCCCAAGCTTGCGAGGTTGTAGGTCAGCGTCCGAGCTGGGCTTGGAACCCCTGTCCGCTGGAGGCCGGTGCTCTGGGAACCCCTAGTTGTGTCTGGGGTGGGGGACAGTCCCTGGCTTCATGCGGCTTCCACAGCAGCCCGACCTCAGTCCCCCTCCCTGAAAGCTCGAGGCGAGGCCCATGCCCACCCCCACCCTAGGAGCCGGTGCCAGTGGGACGGCTGTCAGGCCCTGTGGGCGTGAGCGCGCCCTCCCCACCTGCCCTGTTCCGCATCTTGCCAGGCCTGTGACCCTGAAGCCCAGACTTCATCAAGGGCTGCGGGCCCCCAAGGCACTGGTCTGGGTCCTCAGCCCTAGGGCCCAGGGTTCCGTGGGCATCACCCCCAACCCTGAGCCAGCGTCAGGCAGGGGCCAGGGCCTGGGGCTCAAAGGCACGTGCACATCTGCTGACACAGCCCAAATCTACATCCCATGAACCCCTGCTGCAGAAGGTTCCCCTGACCTTCCTGGACGACCCTGGGACTCTCTGAGCCTGTGCTGAGCCTGGACACTGTCACTGGTCGGGGAGCCAAGGGCCATCCCAGGGGACACTGCCCTTCCCCCCCCCCCCCCCCCCCAGGCTGGGCCTGTCACCTGCAGGCAGTGTCAGGGACCTTGAAGAATCTTTGATACTTGGAGTCTCCCACCCCTCTGATGGGGGCGGGGCCAGGGCCAGGGGTGAGTGGCTGTCTCCATTTCTGTAGCTCACGTGTAGTTCTGTAGGGTCCCCATTTCTGGGGACAGGAAAGATTTCAGGTGATGCTGAGGGGCAGCCCACCTGGAGGTCAGGGGTTAAAAACCAGAGTAACAAGCACCGCCTGGGGCTGGAGACTGTGGAGGAGGAGCCCGCAGGCTGGGGCCCATGCAACCCCCACCTCAATTCCGTTCAGCATCAAGGTCAATAGTCCCTGGGAGCGGCCCCCACTCCCGGGGCTCCCCCGGCATTCCAGGCCCAGCCCTGTCCCCTGGGCCCCCAGGACAGTTGGCGTGGGAGCAGAATTCGGGGAATCCCTTGCGGCACAGGGCACGAGTGGGTTCAGCAGCCCTGGCCCTTCCTCTGGGGCCCTCACTGACCCTTCCTCCCCGCTGACCTCACCCAGCACAGCCTGCAGGAGAATGGCCCAGTGTGCTCCGTGCGGGGCTGTGCCAAGCCGGCCCCAACAAAGGAGCCTTTGCTGTGCCTGGTGCTGGAATGCCAGCCTGTGGCAGGGGTGAGGGGACGGGCTGCTCCAGTGCCCTCCTCCCCATGGGCTGGGCCCCGGCCACACTGCCTGCCCGCCCGGCGTTGCCCTGGCTCCAGGCCCTGCGGTCTCCAGCCTGGCTCGTCCCCGTAGCCTGGGGCGCAGCCTTCCCAGACCCACCCAGAGAGTTGCCCGGATGTGACTTGCAGGTCCGCAGCGCCCCTGGGCAGCAGGCGCCCGGTTCCTGATGGTGGCCCCGGCTCTTGGGGGGCTCAGGGCCAGCTCCCCAGAATAGGCCAAGTGGGCAGCCCCTGAAGGGCCCGGGTAAGGGGTGATGGGGGCAGTGACAGCCTGAGCTGGGGTCCCTGAGCCCCCCGCCCTGTTATAGTGCAGCTGCTCAAGTCCACAGACCTGGGCCGGCACAGCCTCTTGTACCTGGAGGAGGTTGGCCACGGCTGGTTCGGGAAGGTGAGTTGCGACCCTGGGGCGCGGTGGGGGAGAGGGGCTGGCAGGCAGAGGGGCAGGGTGGAGATCTGCGTCTCCTGGGAGCCTCCCCAGCCCTGGGGTCCCTCCGGGGGGAGCTCTGTCTCTGCAGCTCCTGCCGTCAGATGCTGGGAGGTACCTCTGAGAGGCGGGGGTGGGGGAGCGGTGTCTAGGTCCTGGCATCTCCCTGAGCCCCAGCCTGGGTGGGGCGACAGGCCCCTCTTCCTCCCTGCAGACCCCCAAGGAGAGCTGAGGACAGCTGGGGGCCTGGGATGGCCGGCAAAGAGCAAATGTTTCAGCTGGGAGGGTCCCCCTGGGAGGGGCCCAGAACCCCCCCTTTGGCAGATGAGGGAAGCAAGGCTTGCAAGCTCGGGTTCAAGGGGAGAGAGGAGTGGCAGGGCCCGGAGGCTGAGCCCAGGGGGCCCGGTGCCGCCCGCCCCGCAGGTGTTCCTGGGGGAGGTGAACTCGGGCATCAGCAGCACACAGGTGGTGGTGAAGGAGCTGAAGGCGAGCGCCAGCGTGCAGGAGCAGATGCAGTTCCTGGAGGAGGCGCAGCCGTACAGGTGCGCGGCCCCCGGGGGGGGGGGGGCGGGCCCTGTGAACAAAGCCAAGCTCTGTACTGTCCCTGCCCCTCCCCCACCCCTGCAGAGCCAGCCCCCCTCCCCGCCCGCCCGCCCCCTCCCGCCCGGGGTTCGAGTCAGGGGGGCAGTGTGTCGGCTCCTGCAGGGCTCTGCAGCACAGCAACCTGCTTCAGTGCCTGGCGCAGTGTGCGGAGGTGACCCCCTACCTGCTGGTGATGGAATTCTGCCCCATGGTGAGTCCCCGCTCCAGGGCCCCGCGGCCCCTCCGCCCCGCACGTCTGTGCAGGATGTCTAGAAGGAGGGCCTGGCCTCTCCGCAGAGGGGCCTTCGCTGAGCTGGGGACCCCTCCTCACCCTCCTGGGGGCCATATGTTCCCCCCCGAGGTGGTATCGGGGCAGAGGCACCTGCGGGAGGAGGGGGTGTGGGGCGGGCCCAGCCGCCTGTCCTGCTGAGTTGAGACAACGTCCTGGATTCCGCTCACCCAGTGCCCCTTCCCTCTGAGGGGGCTCCGCCCCTGTTCTGAGCGGCACTGGGCAGACAGGGGTCCCCGCGGTGTGCAGGCCCCCACCCTCTGGTTCCTGGGCTCCGGGCAGTAGCCACGACCCCCCGGGGCTTCCCCAGCAGGGCCAGGCCCTCTCCAGCTGAGCCGTGTCAGCAGCTCAGGGATTTGCCAGCTGTCCCTCTGGTCACCTGCCCTGTGTTCCGACCTGGCTGGGCGTCACTGCTCACATGGCCTGTCTGCCGCTTGCCAGCAGGGAGGTGGCGAGCATACGGGCCCCAGTGGTCTGTACCTGGGGGGGTGGTCACTCCTTCACCACCACCCTAACCGTAACCCCAACCCTAACCCGCAGGGTTGCTTGGGTCTGCGGGGGCAGTAGACACAGTGCCGTCTGCCTGTGGGGCTGTCCTACTGAGAGCCGGCCACTAGGGGGCGGACTTGGGGGCTCCTCTTGATAGCTGCACCCCCAGGTTGTCTGCAGGCCCTGGCGGGGGAGGGGCTGGGCGGTGACAGGGCTGCCCCTCTTGGCAGGGGGACCTCAAGGGCTACCTGCGAAGCTGCCGGCTGGCGGAGTCCATGGCGCCCGACCCTTTGACCCTGCAGCGCATGGCCTGCGAGGTAGCCTGTGGCGTCCTGCACCTGCATCGCAACAACTACGTGCACAGGTGAGGGGGGCGGGGCTGGTGGCCTCTGCCCCTGCGGAAGGGAGCGGCGGTGCCTGCCCTGGGGCTCATGTGAGGGTTACCTGGCTCAGTCTCTAGTCAGCCTCCAGGGGCCGTGGTGCCAAGGAATCTGGTTAAATCACCGCCAGACGAGGTGCGGGGAGGTGCCTGCTTCTGCGGGGTGGGCGGCTGGCCTGGGCGGCGCACAGCAGGGCCCACGGCCCATCCTCTGTCCCTGGGGCGGTCAGAGCCACCCGCGGGCCCACACCGGGCCCTGCGGGCCTCTGGCTCCCTGAGACCCCAGAGGGGAGGGATGGGCTCCGTCCTGCTTCCCACCCTGGCCCTGGAATCGGAGGGACGGACCAGGGTGCCCAGGGTAGGGGGATGTGCCCGGAAGAAGCGGTAACGGTCAAACAGCCCCGCCAGCCCCGACGCCGCACGGGCCGTCCTCCCCAACAATATCCTGGTGCTGAGTGATGACACGTACGACTCCAGCATCAGTGATTTTGTTGAAGAGGGCAGCTGCCAGCCTCCTGACCTGCCCGCCGGGCACCCCGCCCCAGGCCCCCGCACACCCGGCAGGCGCAGGCTGCTGCCGTGTTTGCCCCGGTGCCCTGTGCCCCCAGAGCCGGCCGCGGGGCCCAGCCCTGTGTGAGCAGGGCTGGGGCAGGATCCCCGGGATGCTCAGGACCCCGGCTCCCCTGTGGCTGCCCGCCTCCCGGGGAGCTGAGGGTGGGAGGGAAGCCCACAGGGTCCCCTGCTGGCTCGTGCCCGGGACGGGTCGGCAGACGTGTGAACGGCTGGGGTCGGGAGAGGGTCCGGTGACGGCGGGGCAGTGCCTTCACCGAGGGCCCCGTGGCCTGCTCCGGCTCTTCCTGGGCCTCGATTTCCTTGTCTGCATCGTAACATTTGAGGTCCTGTCCACGCGGACACCCCAGGGAGCCCCATGGGGGGTGAGGGACGGGGGCTCGGGGCAGCGGGTGGACGGGCTGCCTCTCAGACACCCCCTCCCGCTGGCTCATGGTGATGCCCTTGGCCACAAGTGAGCTGGCCCGTCAGCTCCCCGAGTGCCCGCAGCCTGGCACTGCCACTGACCCCCGCCCTCCTGCCCTCCAGTGACCTGGCCCTGAGGAACTGCCTGCTCGCGGCCGACCTGACAGTGAAAATCGGTGACTACGGCCTGTCCCACGGCAAATACAGAGTAAGTGGGCGGGGCTGTGCGGGGGGAGGGGGAGGGCAGAGCCACCGGCACCCTGGGGTGACCCTATGCCCCGCGCTTGCAGGAAGACTACTTTGTGACCGCCGACCAGCTGTGGGTGCCGCTACGCTGGATCGCGCCCGAGCTGGTGGATGAGGTGCACTGCAACCTGCTGGTGGTGGACCAGACCAAGGCCAGCAACGTGTGGTGAGCCCCCCGCTCGGTGCCCGCCCCGGCTCTGTCTGCTGCCGTCACGGCTCACGGCTGCCAGGCCTGGGTGTGGGTGCGTGTCCAGCGAGGACCCAGGGCCCGCAGACCCTTGGGGACCGAGTCCCCCCACCCCCTGTGCTGGAGGGGTGCAGACTGGCCACCCTGAGAAGAGCCACACATGCGATGACATGCTTATCTGCTCCCCCTCATCACTCTGCAGGCGGGGGTGGGGGTGGGGGCTGCTGGGCCCTGCTCCGCCCCCGTGATCTGCTCAGGGTCAGGGCACACGTTCGGGTTGGAAAGCCCACTGCCGTGTGGCGGCACCACCCACCCTCAGCACGAGCACCAGGCAGGGCACAGACCCAGCCCCACAGCCTCCAGAGGCCCCCTGGGGTGGTCCCTGTGCCTGACCAGCCCCTCCCCCCCGCCCCCCCAGCTCCTCAGGCCCGTCTGTCTCCCCTCTGCTCCTAGCGAGCCCCCAGAGCCTGGACCCATGGACCCACCCTCCCTCCTGAGCACCTGAGTCACTTAACCGTAGCCCATCAGCCGCTCCGCCCCGCCATCCATCTCCCTTCCCCGCCCGCCCTGCCGCACGCGGACTGGGCTCCTTTAGACGGCTCGGGCCCCTCGACTTCCCTGTTGTCAGATTTGTTCTGTTTCTCACGTTCCGGGTCTCCCGGCACAGCCTGGGGCCCCAAGGACCGGGTGGATTCGCCTTCTCGCAGCCCTGCCTGCTCCCCAGGCCCGCCCCTGCCAGGCTGGGGTGCACTTAGACGCCCCCTCCCTGGCCGTAGCCCCCAGCGGTGCCCAAGGACTGGGAGCTTCACCAGGGCAGCTCCTGGTCCTGGACCCGTGTCTGACCTTCACCACAGCAAGGGAATGAGCACACGGACAAAGGAATGGACTTGAGTTTGTGGAAAGGCCAGTGTTGCTTTTATTTGCCCAGGTGCCCTGGACACAGGCTTGGGCCTGGCCGGGTGGCACGTCCTGCCAGTTTACTGAAGGCAGGTGCTGTCCCTTGGGAGGGGCGTCCCTGGGACGCTGGTGCAGTGACTGGAGCTGTCCTGTGGTGCCCGCGGCTCTGAGGTCCCCCGCAGCCATGCCGTGGCCAGACACGCCGACCCCCTCTGACGGCCGTTGCCTCCACAGGTCCCTGGGCGTGACCATCTGGGAGCTCTTTGAGCTGGGTGCGCAGCCCTACTCTCACCACTCCGACCGGCAGGTGCTGGCCTATGCGGTCCGGGAGCAGCAGCTCAAGCTCCCCAAGCCCCAGCTGCAGCTGACGCTGTCCGACCGCTGGTGAGGACCCTGCGACGCCGGGCTGGGGGCAGCATCCCCAGTAGAAAGGTCGAGACCAAGGAGGGAGCTCGGAGTGTGACTGCCTGGGTGTCCAGCTCCCGCTGCCTCGCCCCTCTGGGGCCCGTACTGAGTCCACACGGAAAGAGCCTTTTTGCCCAAAACTCAGACTCACCTGCAGCTAAGGTGGGGTGCGCTAACGGCAAAGCGCTTTGGCCCGCTGTAGCCCCCCCAAACCTCTGAGCCCACCTTGGGAGACTTGGGGCTCCTGTAATGCACTTGGAGGTTCTCTTCGATGTCCTTGGAGGACTCAGGGCGTGGGGAGGGCCAATCTGCTCCTCTGCAGGGGGAATGGGGTCTTGGCTGCGCGGTGCCCCCGGTGGGGGTGGGCAGGGCTGAGCCCCAGGCCTCCCCGCCCCCACAGGTATGAGGTGATGCAGTTCTGCTGGCTGCAGCCCGAGCAGCGGCCCACGGCCGAGGAGGTGCACCTGCTGCTGTCCTACCTCTGCGCCAAGGGCGCCACCGAGGCGGAGGAGGAATTCGAGCGGCGCTGGCGCTCGCTGCGGCCAGGCGGGGGTGGCGCGGGCCCCGGGCTGGCGGGCCTGGCTCTGGGGGGCGCAGGCGAGCTCGCCTCCGCCTCGTCCTTCCCGCTGCTGGAGCAGTTCGCAGGCGACGGCTTCCACGCGGATGGGGACGATGTGCTGACGGTGACCGAGACGAGTCGTGGCCTCAACTTCGAGTACAAGTGGGAAGCGGGCCGCGGCGCTGAGGCCTTCCCGGCGCCTGGGGGTGCAGCGAGCCCCCGCCGCGCGGTGCGCCTGCAGGAGCTGTGCACGGCTGACAGCGCGCCCCCGGGCGTGGTGCCCGTGCTCAGTGCGCACAGCCCCTCGGTGCGGAGCGAGTACTTCATCCGGCTGGAGGAGCCCACGCCCGCCGTCGGCCATGACCCTGACTGCGCCGGCTGCACCCTCAGCCCCCACGCCGCGGACCTGCTCCCTGATAGTGGTGACCAGGATAATGACTCGGAGGGCAGCGAGGCCACCTCGTTGGCCATGGAGCCGTTGCTGGGCCATGTGCCGCCTCCTGAGGGGTCCTGGGGCCGCTGTGACTACTACCTGCTTGGGAACCGTGCTCGGGAATCATCCTGTCCGCTGAGCTCGCCTTCGCCGGGGACGCGGATGCTGGCGCAGCCCAGGGAGGACGCCGCCGACTGGGGTACAGCTGCCTTCTGCCCACCCTTCTTGGAGGACCCGCTGGGCACGTCCCCAAGTGGGGAGGAGTTGGGGGCGACCGAGGGCTGCAGGGCCACCCAGCCCAGACACTGGAGTTCCAATGTGTCCGCAAATAACAACAGCGGCAGCCGAGGGCCGGGCTCCTGGGACCCGGGACAAGCGGGTGGCTGCATGGACTGCTGCCCTGGCACAGAGCACACCTTACGGGCTGTCCCTGATCTGGGCCGTCACCTGGCCCTAGAGGACCCCAGAGAGCCCCTCCTTGGGTCACAGGGGGCCTCCTCTGGCCAGGAGCTAGGCCGCTGCTTTGGCCTCCCTCAGCTGTGTCCTGCTGAGGGCCTGGCACCGGCCATCTGCCTGGTGACATCTGCTCGGACAGAGGCCGCCATGAGCCGGGCTGACAGCCCCCAGACCGAGCCCAGGCTTGCTGAGGAGGCTGAGGGCCCTGCCGGACCCCGACTGCCCCTTCCCTCAGTCCCAACCCCGTCCCAGGAGGGAGCCCCGCTTCCTGCTGAGGAGGCCAGCGCCCTCGACACCCTGCCCGCCCTGCCCACGCCCGCCGGCAGCTGGGAGACTGGCGCTGGGGCGGCCCAGACCCTGGACAGCTCCGGCGGCTGCCCTGAGCTGGGGGCGCCCGTCAGTGAGGACGAGGACGTGACAGAGGCCACTTCTGGTGTCTTCACTGATTTGTCCAGCGATGGCCCACTGGCCGAGAAGCCGGGCGTGCCGCTGGCCTTGCGCTCTCTGCAGAAGCAGGTCGGGACCCCAGACTCTGTGGACTCCCTGGACATCCCATCCTCAGCCAGCGATGGCGGTGGCCGTGAGGTCTTCAGCCCGTCAGTTGTCGGCACTCCCGGCGGGCAGCCCCGAGCCCTGGACAGCGGCTATGACACAGAGAACTACGAGTCCCCCGAGTTTGTGCTCAAGGAGGCACACGAGCCCTGTGAGCCTGAGGCCTGTGGGGAGCTGGTCTCTGAGGGGGAGAGCCCTGGGCCCGAGACTCAGCTCCCCACCTCTCTCGGTGGTGGCCGGGGCGAGAAGAACCCCTGCCGTGACTCCGCCTACTTTTCAGACCTGGACGCAGAGCCTGACTGCAAGGCAGGCCCCCAGGAGAAGCGAGGAGGCGGCCTGTCCTCCAGGCTAGAGCGGGGCCTGGGGGGCTCTGGGCTGCGGTCTGCACAGCCCTCCCCTGAGTCTGCAGGGGCTGGGGTGACGCCAGGTCCCAGAGAGGTGCCACCACTGTTGCCGCCGCTGCCTGAGGGCTCTCCTCCAGAGCCGGGCGCCTGCCCGGAGGGGCCCAGACCAGACCCTCCTTGGCCCCAGGGCCCTGCCCCAGGGCCCCCAGCGCCCAGCCCGGGGGGTTCCAAGGTTTTCCTGCTGACCCCGGTCCCGCTGAGCTCGGAGGGCCACCTCCCTGACCTCCAGGAGGCCCCTGGAGGGCCCGCACAGCTGGCACGGGCTGGGAGTCCTGGTGCCCCCAGAACCCCGCTGTGCCTGGCCCTGCCGCGGCCGCCCGCAGCCCCGGAGGGCCGGCCGGAGGAGGAAGAGGACGACAGCGAGGAGAGCGAGGAGTCGGACGAAGAGCTCCGCTGTTACAGCGTCCAGGAGCCCAGCGAGGAGAGCGAGGAGGAGCCGCCGCCCGTGCCCGTGGTGGTGGCCGAGAGCCAGAGCGCGCGCAACCTGCGCAGCCTGCTCAAGATGCCCAGCCTGCTGTCGGAGGCCTTCTGCGAGGACCTGGAGCGCAAGAAGAAGGCCGTGTCCTTCTTCGACGACGTCACCGTCTACCTCTTCGACCAGGTGCGCGGCGGCCCCGGGCTCTGCAGGGGGGAGGGTCCCCCCCGCGGGACGGGAGGCCGTGGGCGTGGCCGCTGCTGGCGCCCCGAGCCACGTGCCGCTCTGACCCTCCAGGAAAGCCCCACCCGGGAGCTCGGGGAGCCCTTCCCTGGCGCCAAGGAGTCGCCCCCCGCGTTCCCGGCGGGCGGCCCCCGCTCCCCCAGCGCCCCCGGCCGGCCGCGGCGGGCGGACCGCTGCCCCGACGACTCGGCGGCGGAAGAGGGTGAGCAGAGAGCCGGGCGCCGGGAGCGGCGGGGGCGGGGCCGCCGGGCGGGCCGTGACGTCCGGGCGGGCGGGTCTGCGTGGCGTGACGTCACGGGCGGGGGGCGGGGCCGCCGGGCGGGCGGGCCTGCGTGGCGTGACGTCACGGGCGGGGGCGGGGCCGCCGGGCGGGCCGTGACGTCCGGGCGGGCGGGCCTGCGTGGCGTGACGTCACGGGCGGGGGCGGGGCCGCCGGGCCAGCGTCCGAGCCGCGCGAATGACCGAGGGGCGGGCCTGCAGGCGGAGGGTTCGCGTGGGCCGACGGCTGCCCGCCGACGCCGGCCCCGGAGGCCGCCCGGCCCGCTCCCGCCGCGTCCCCCAAGCAGACCGCGCCCGGCCCCTTCTCGCGCTTCACCGTGTCGCCCGCGTCCGCCTCCCGCTTCTCCATTACGCACGTCTCCGACTCGGATGCCGGGTCCCTGGGAGGTGAGGCTGCGCCGGGGCTGGAGGCGGGGGGCACGGAGTCGGGACAGTGGAGGGGGCGGCCGGGAGGTCACCTGCTAGGGGCCGAGGCTCTGGACAAGCTCAGTTTTCAGGCGGGGAAACTGAGGCTCGGAGAGGTGGGGCCGGGCCCGGGCCTGTCTGCCCTGGCCACCTTGGCGCTCGGCCTCGCTTCTGGACCTTCTGGGGGGCTGGCCCGCCCCTCTGGGTGCCTCAGTGGGATTCCACCTTGCCCCTTTCTCTGTTCTCTGGAGGCGCCCGGCGCGACGCTGAGTGTCCCCGGCCGGGCTCTCTGCCTGACCCCAGCCCCCCAAACCTGCAGCCTCTCCCACCGCGACCTGCCCAGCCCCTGCTCATGTGCTTCATCCGCTGCCCTCCCCTCACCCCGGACCTGGCACATCGCCTTGTCAGGAGGCCGCAGTGTCTGGGGCTACGGTGCCCAGCTCACCCCGCCCTCCAGCCTCCATTCCTCCGTCAGCCTCAGACCAGGCGGGCTCGCCCTGTCAGGTTGCCCCCCGCCGTGTGCCTGACAAGTTCGTGCATTCCCGCCAGCCTTCCCTGAAAGCCCACCCAGGGAACGAGACCCCTCTGTCCGCAGACCACCTCCGTCCCTCTGGGGAAGGGCCAGGGCATTTACTGACTTGGGCTGAGCCCCCGGTGATGTAAGGGAAGGGAAAGGGCCCTGCTCCCACCTAGGCAGGTAGGCAGGCCCGTTGCAGTGAAGGGGCCCGGGGGTGGCAACCCCAGGCGGTCATTGGTCCCTAGGCCAAGGACGGAGGTCGGATGGGAGGCCTGGGGCAGGGTCCTCTCGGAACCCCAGTCTCCGGAGCCTCTCCAGACGCTCACACAGCGCCTCCTGTTTGCCAGGCCCTGTAGCAGGTGCTGGGGGCAGCTGTAAAGAGGCTTGAGGCCCGGGCGGGCATCCGTGGAGCTCCTGCCGGTCCGGCTGCAGGCAGCAGCGAGGATGGTGACTGAGAGCGGGGACCTCGGTCTTGGTGGTCGTCAGCGGCTTCCAGCGCCTCCGTGCCTCGTCCGGGAGGAGCAGGGCGGGACGAGGGGCCTCCTCCGGCCCCGGATGGTGGAGCAGCCCGCCACACACGCCAGCCAGTGCCGTGCTGCCGAGGGGCAGGGTTTGTCCCGGACATGGGGGCCCGTTGCTAGCTGCTGGGGGTGCCCTCCGGCGTCCGGCCCGAGCAGCCCCCCACCCTCCAACCGCCCCCCCCGACTCTGCTAGCGGGCTGCTCGGCTTCTGAAGCCAGGGGACCGGCTCTTGGCTCAGGGGTCCTTGCATGCCCGCCTCCTGGTTCCTGAGGTGAATTACATGGGCCCGCTGGGACGGCCTCTCTGCCCCCTTCGCCCCTTCTCCCTGGTTCGGGGTTTGCTCAGCGCAAGAACCCATGACCGCCCTGCCCTGGGCTTGTGTGTCCCCCTACCACCCTTACCTCAGAGTCTGTGGCTGTATTTCCCTCCAGTGACTCAGCTGGACCCGCAAACTGTCCCTCCCCAGCTGCCTGGGGCGGCTCCTGTCTGAGTCCACGGCTGCAGCCTGGCAGGCGGGCCAAGGCGGGCGGCCTGAAAGATGGGGGGGCTGTCCGGCCACACCTGTTCTAGAGGTGCCGGCGGCTGGCCCTGCAGCCCCCACAATCCGCACTGGGGCCCTGCCTGCGGGGTTGGGGCGCGGGTGGGAGGGACGTGGGGGCCTGGGCAGCACAGGGAGTATTTTTGTAACTGCTGTTGTCTGAGCAAATGGAAGCGGGGTGATTTTAAGTTATTGTTGCCAAAGAGACGTAAAGTTTATTGTTGCTTTGGGGGTGGGGGTAGGGGACTTGTTTTGGGTTGTGTTTTTTGTTTTCATTAGTTTGAGGCTTCGGATGCTGGTGCCATGATTTTGTTTTTTTGTTTGTTTTTTAAAAGAAATCAAGCTAAGAAAACAAGCCTTCGTGCTAAGTGTGTTTTCTTTTGGGGTTTGCACACACAGCCCAGGGCAGGGCGGTCATGGGTGGTGCTGGGATGCAGCCCGGCTGCCAGCCCTGCCTGGGGGGGCACAGCAGTCCCTTCCACCTGCCGTCAGTAGGGGTGCAGAGGGCGCCACCAACCCGCCCGCCAGCTGTCCTTGCTGCACCCTCGTGGAGGGGGACCGTGATTCGGGCCCCTCCTTTCCCCAGGGGTAAAGAGCAGGGGACAGCCCTCTCTTCCTGTCCTGTAGTTGGGGCTGACTAGGTAAGACTGAGGCGGGGCCCACGGACATGCCCCCCACGAAGCTCCTTCGCCGCCTTTCTGGAGCACGGGGTGGGGGGCGGGGTAAGTGTGAGGCAAGACGGGTTTTGAGGAGCCGGGGCTTCTGTGCATGTCCGTCCCAAACGTGGGCTCCACGACCCCACCGGGCCGTCTCCAGCTTCTGCAGCACCGGAGGCCCGTGTCCCTGCCTGCCCCATCCATGACCCATTTTGCTTCTGGTCCTGGGGATACAGACAGGCTTCGGGCAGATCAGGGCTCCAGAGCCCCCCTTCGAGGGCTGGGAGGGGTGACAGCGCCTGGGACTTTTCAGTGGGGACGGCCGGCACCAAGGCTGGTCACCACGGGTGTAGTTCAGCCAGAGAGAGCAGGCGGTGTGGATCCCGTCATGAAGCAGCCGGGGTGCGGAGGCCATCGCAGGCCATCGCAGCCGTGGCGCAGGGAGGAGAGCTGGGGGCTCCGTAGCCAGCTCTGGGTGGGAGCTGGGGCGACATAGGGGCCCCCAGCATTGCCAGTGCGAGTGGAGCCCAGCAGAGCCAAGGTCGAGGGCTCAGAATAAATCTGTCCTACAAAGAAAGGTGGCAGCCTCTCCCCATCCCTCTGTCCCCGGCCTCCCACCCCTTCGGGCAACAGAGCACAAGCGGGCACGGGTGGCAGAGCCTGTTTATTGGCCAGACACGTAGGAGCTGTGGGTGGTGTGGGCCTGTGGGCTGCGAATTGGCGGGGCGCCCCTCCCTGCACGGGGTGGGTGCTGCTTGCGGGGCTGGCCCCGCGGCCCCCCCACTGCGGCTCCCAGCGCCGGCCCTGGCCCAGGGGCCACCTCCGAAGACAGCCGGGGTCCAGCCCAGGCCAGACTCAAGTGGGCACAGAACCGGGCAGGTGAAGGAGAGAATCTCTAAACGGGGACCGCAGGTTGTTACAAAAGAGGTTGTGTGTGTGGGCAGTGGTGGGGGGGAAGAACAGGACTTGGCGGGGGGGGGGGGGAAGAACAGGACTTGGCCATCAGCTGAGGAGGGGGGCGGACCTGTCGTTGGTCACTGTTGGCTTCAGCTGGATGTTGGTGAAGGGATTCCTGAGGAGAGGAGAGAAAAACCGGTTTTAGTGCGGGGTGGGGGGCGCACCCGGAGGTCGTGGTGCCTTCCTGGGCTGCCCTTCACCCTGGGGGCCCCCAGTCCTGCGATGGCACCAGCCAGGACCCCGACGGCCCCGCCTCTGAGCTTGGAGCAGCTGGAGATGGAGGCCACCAGGGGGAGCCAGGGAACGTGCTGGCTGGCTGCTGGGGTCACCCCACCTGCGGCCCGCGGCCCTCCTGGGGCAGGGGGGCTGCGGAGCCGGTTCCTTCGCCACCACCGGAGGCAGTCCTGAAGGGGCCTACATCCAGGTTTCGTGAGCCGCCCCACAAGGCCAAGGCGATCCTCCCTTCTGCCCGAGAGCAGCGGGGCCCAGTTTTAAAGACATGCCACCGACAGACACGGACAGTCCAGCAGCTCACACACACCCGGCCCATGCGCCCCGGGCTCCCAGAGGTGGCTGGGTGCAGACACGGGCCCTCAGCCCGGCCCACGCTGACACGACACATGGGGGTGCACGCACACTGGCAGCGAGGAGGCCAGCAGGGGTGGACGAGGGCTCAGCCACCTGTCACCCGGGACAGTGACCCGAGGCCACAGCTGACAGACAAACGGACGCGCCAGACAAGAGGTGGAGATGGGACAAGATGAGCACAGTGGACGCCAGCGCCCGGCCCTCTGGGCAGCTGCTCCTCAGAGTCCCCAGCAGGCTCGGGAGGGCCCGCCTGGGCAGGGACAGCACAAGACAGCGGGCTGGGGGCCATCAGGCAGCCCCAGGATGACGGCACAGATGGTACGTGGGACACGGAGGGCTCGGCACGGACAGGACCGCACTCCCGGTGAAGCGCTCGGCCCTGTGGCCGTTACCTGGGGCCGGAGTCGCCTCTGGCGCAGCTGGGCCGGTGTCCGCGGGGCGGGGGCGCCTGTGTTTTCTAAAAAACTGAGATGCTTTGGACTGAATTTTTAAAAGGATGAGTTACAGAGAGTAGCTGACTTCTTGCTGGTTGAAGTCTCCGTCTCCGGGGTGGCGGCTGAGAGCCCCGTGTGGGCACACTGCTTGTGACTGTCCCGAGTCATCGACCCCCCGCGTGCAGCCCCAGTGGGGCCTCAGGCTCCTCCACGCGCTCTGGTGATCTGTCCGGCCGATGCGTACAAACGAGCTTCAGCTTCGACAGCGAGGAGCAGCGGCCACCCAGAGACTCCCAAGGCCAAGTCTGCTGCCAAGATGTGATGAGTGACATCTGCCCCCAAGACGGGGTGGCCCGTGTCCTGACTGCCACCTTGACTGGACTCTGGTTCTGGAGGAAGGCTCCGGGGCCTTGAATGTCCCTGGCTGGGGTCAAGGCGGGTATCCTGGGGGCTGGAACTTGGGCAGGTTTGTTCATGTGGAGTTGGGGACCTGAGCAGAGGACGGAGCTCAGGCCCTAGGCCGGAGGGAGGGGCGGGGGGGGACGCTGGCCGGGGGTACAGAGCGGCCAGGCCAGGTCAGGGCAGCACGCATCTTGCCCTGACACCCCCGCGCTCTCATCAGAAAGGGCTGGGGGCAGAACCGCATCCTGAGCTGGGCTGGAGGCGGGCAGCAGAGCCAGACAGCACCCCCCGAGATGGCGTCGGCCCCTGAGCCCCGTTTTCCTCCTCTCCTTCCCCCACAGGGCGGGTGCAGAGCACGCACCATCAGCGCCCCAGCTCTGAGGAAGCGCCCTGCAGCCGCGCCCAGCCCAGCCCTCGCCACGGGTGGGGCCTCTGGGGCGCCTCCCGCCTGTGAAGGAACTGGAGGGTGTGGGTGCAACCCTGGGTGGGTCAATGCCAACATGACAAAACAGGACTAAATTCAGACCCGAGGCCCATGAGAGTCTCTGGTCCCGGGGACATCTGTCACCGCTCGGGGTGCTCTCCAGGGGTGGACGCCTGATGGCAGACCACCAACACGGGCACGGCAGGCCTCCAGGCAGGGTTTGCTCCTGTCAGGAGTCGTGCAGGCCACCCCCCCCCCCCAGCCCCCTGCCCTGGGCAGAGGCTCCCGCCCTCAGCGGGCAGGGAAGCCCCCTGCAGATCCAGCGCCGCCTTCAGGGGATGCCCTCAGGGCATCGCGGGGTCCCAAGCCTCGGCTCCTGCCTGTGAACTGTCCAGCCCGAGAGGGCCGAGTGCCGGAGCCCAGTTCCAATCTCACGGGAAGCGCGGCGCCGACGCTTTAGGGAGTCGTCTGTAATTGTTCAGAATCCGCTTGTCGAGCGAGAACCAGGTCAGCCGAGAACAGCCATAGCTCCTTACGGATGGATTCTGAGCAGAGCGAGCAGGGAGCAGCTGGATGGACTTCCACTTTCTCCTGAACTTTCTCCTGAGACAAAAGTGGCTCCCACACCTTTAGGATGTCGGCCCTCCTGGGATTGAGTCCTTGCTCAGCTTCCCCAGGACCACACCTCAGTCGGACTTGGTCGAGGTGCTTTGACCAACCCAGGGGGCTTTTGACACCCCACCCCCAGTGGAATCTTGGGGCCAGGCTGATTCTGTGGCCGGGAAGCTGACTGGTGGTGCTGTGCTGATGCCCGCTGCGCCTCTGGGGTCCTGTCCTGCACCTGGGGACATGGTCCCCGGCAGAGGCCACACTGGCCTCCAGTGGGCCAGGACTGCCTGGCCTGTATGTAGCGCAGCGCGGTGGGGGTGGGGGTGGGAGATGCAGGGCTCTTAGTGCGTCCTGGAAGAAGAGAAATCAAGAAGCAGGGAAGGCATTTCTGCCCTGTCCCCAAATTTCAGGAGCACTGGTCTCCAGAACTTTCCAGAAGATCCTCACGCTGCAGCTCAGACACAGTGAAAGGCGAGTGAGTCCAGGGCCTGTTGCAGCAGCCACTACACCACGTCGCTGGTGACCAGTGAGGTCCTGTGATCACCATCCACCACAAAGGACGCAGGTGCCAGCATCCTGGGGTGGCGGGGGCAGGGACAGATGGGTGGCAGTGCCACCCCGACCGAGGCATGGGCGCCCAGAGTGCTGGCTGTCCCGGGGCCAAGAGGAAGGGGCGGTCACGGGATTGGCTGTAGCAGGCCTGCGGGGGCCCCACACGTGGCGGCACAGGCCTGCTCTAGAGAGCCCGGTGCAGCCTTCTGGCGCCGTGTCTGGGCAGGCGCGGGGTGAGGAAGAGCGGGCAGCGGGGCCGCGTGTGCACCCGCCCTGGCACGTGATCCTGCTCTGGCGTGCCCAAGGCCCACCCCGTCTCCCCAGCCCCCGAGGGGGCCACAGTACTCACCAGCCAGGGAGCCGGCCAGGCTGGGCTCACACCGGTACCCGCAGACGCGGTCCAAGGGGACCCCCAGCCAAAGGAGCCCAGAGCTGGCCTCTCCGCCGATCACCTGGCTTCGCC